TTCTTCTTCTTCTTCTTCTTCTTCTTCTTCTTCTTCTTCTTCTTCTTCTTCTTCTTCTTCTTCTTCTTCTTCTTCTTCTTGGAAGTCACAATAAAAACTCGACGGTTCAGTTAAAGAAACCCGTCCTAAGCCACATTTTTCTAATATATAATGTTCTCCAGTGGCCCCAGGTCTGTCTCCATCACATATTTTTTCGATGTGAGGATCGGACTGTAAATAACGTATTTGCGCGGGCAAATGTAATTTTAGAAAATCCGGAAGTGATATTTCGCGAGGCGCATTAGATCTTATAATTTTTTGCATCTCTCAAGATTTATTGCCCCATTCCAGTACAGTGTAAATATAGTAGGCCAATGACTTTTAGTTGATATTAAAGCACCGATCATTCCTTTCATCGAAAGGGAGCCCAGCTAGTAGAATATAATCTCCCAGAGCCCGACAAAGAATGGAGACCCTGGCAATGTGTACTAGGTCAAGTGAGTTCCAAATAGAGGGCAAATATTTACTTTTTGTCTTTTGAAACGACGTTTTCTGCCAGGATAAAACTCATATTTCTTAATTAACTAAAACTTTCTTTCTGTATGATTGAGCGTAACGTGTTTTTTCTACTTGCCTTTCAGAGTTTGGTGGAGATGGAATGCGAGTGAACACTGTCAGGTAAGACAACGATGTCATCATCATCAATGCATTTCACCCCTGGCAGGGTATAGGCCACATACAAGCTCCTTCCATTTATCTATGTCCTGAGCCATCCTTCCAAGCTCATTCCAAGTGAGCTTCATCTCTTTTCCCTTTCCACGCATCTCCTCCATATTTCCTGTGGCCTACCCCTGCCTCGAGCTCCTTGTGGGTTCCACTGCAGAGACTGTCTTGTGATGTTTCCGCTGGGCTTTCTTAAGACAACGATGTACAAGTGTCCAATTCCTCCCGGTATCAAAGCAAATAGGGCACGCCGTTAGCTCAGTTGGTGCCATGCTAAATTACTGATAGGATGGCCCTGGCTCAACTCTCTCCCGAGAAGCTCTGAACATGGGTTGTTTTGGAGAGCTTTTAAATCTCTCCTCCATTATTTTGGTTACCGTGGATACTGGAACTAACGCACTAAGATTTATTCTTTATTTATTATTTTTGGATGCCTTGGACCACACCCAATATGTCAAGAGTGGCCCTTATGTGGCTGTAAGAACGATTAAGGGAAAGCATTATAAGCCCAAAGTTTACAAGTGAATGACTCTCCCTCCCGACCCCCTGGCCCCAACTTGAGCCCTTCAAATATTACCGATGGGGTTATTTGACAGAGTCTGCCGAAACAAGCCACAAAGAATCTAACAATTGAATCGCGATGTTGAACAGGAGGTCCAAAGAATCGACCCAGAAGCATGTCGCAGGGTCATTCAAATATTTTTCAGTGGCCTATTGGAGCTTGTAGGGAGAAAATAGTTAACACCTGGAGATTTAAATAGCTATAACCTCCCTGAGTTAAACTGGAAATACCAATTTTGTATACATTTGCTCATCACTAGTTGCAATTTTAAAAGGAACAATATGTGAGGCAGCGTGGTGGAATCAGGCTCTTGTCAAAATAATCAAATTGAAGAAACTTGCATTTTTCCACATGTTTGTTAATTTTTATCAAATTTTTGTTTTTTGGCTCAACACCTTTCATGCCCATTAAAGAACTCATTTCTGTGTGGATTTTTCTGAAAAAGGTTGATTAAAGGCATAAAATATGTAAATTTTCAGTTACCTTGCACTCTTCAAATAAGGGAATGACTAATCTTTGGCCGCCATTTTCTCATTAATTTTACCTCTGAAAACAGGTGACCCCCACCTCCTTCATTTGCAAATATCTCGAATTGTATTCAGGATAAATGGATATTTTTTTTCATCCAAATAATAACAAGTCAACAAGCTTTAAGATGATACCAATAACTCTACATGCCCAAAAATTGACGAGAGCCTGATTCCACCACGCTGCCTCACATATGATGGATTTTTAAAAAGTCGCAAAGTTTTGCGTTTCCCTCAATGTCGATTGAAATGTCAAAAACTCTGTACTTTTCAAACATGTCGGTTGATTTTTTCAATATCATCATCATCATCATCATCATCACCATTGCTTATCTCACTCTGGATCAGGATATAGGCCATGAAGAAACACATTCAATCTTTCCCTATCCTGGACTAGTCGCTTGGTGTCAGTCCATGTCTCCCCACTTTTCTGTACATCCTTTTCCGTGACTCTTCTCCAGGTTCCACAATTGTTTTTAAAACTTGTCTTGACATGAAAACAGATGCAAGCCAACGACATTTTCAAACCTTTGGGAATCAAAGTCCTTGAGGACTGTGAAAACATAAAATCTTTTTAAAAAGTAGATCTACAGAGCAATTATTTCTTTTTCGCTACCTCCCTCTGTGGCACCTCGCCACGGCAAAAATGAACTTAGCCCTAACAATAGCATACAATAAATCATGCACAGACACAACAAACATTCATAGCTGCATTAAAGAAGACAACAACACTCAAACAAAGAGATGATCTCCACCAATGGCTCTAAATAATAATAATAATAATAAATAGCATTTGTATAGCGCATGTCCCCACTCAACAGCAGGCTCTATGCGCTTTACACTATATTATTACCCCAGCAGACCATAGAACACCCCGAAACATTCTCAGCTTCCCGGGAAGCATACAATGCAAGCAGCTGATTCAGCGCTCAAACACTAACAAACTGACAAGATCTTTCGCTGTCTATAGCCGGGTACCCATTTCCATCTGGGTGAAGTGAGGAAAATTCGTGTAAAGTGCTTTTCCCAAGGACACAACGTCGGGCCCCTGACGGGATTCGAACCCACGACCTTACAGTTGCGGGTCCGAGAGCCTAACCACTAAGCCCCCGACGCCACAATCAGACACATCTGTAGAACACATCTGCCCTGTCCACAAACCTACACCTAGAAGAGGAAGCTTCTCTCCGAGGTCTACCTTTTTTGGTCTGCAGAGTTTCTCATTCTTTCCAATTCTTTGTCTTGCCTTTCTTCCCTCACCAATTTCACACTCCTCAAACCTAAAATTGTTTAAACATAGTTGATGATTCATTCCTTCACTTTTCATGACTACAAATAAGGACAAATACTATACCTCCTAGCGGCTGTGTTGTTTTTGTATTTTGTAAAGTGTTTTACGGCGCTCGCAACTGCATATTATTATGGTCATATGAGCGCGCGGGACACACCTAATGTTTTCAGTTGGTATGAAATTTTGAATTTTGCCAGGGTGGCGGCCGAATCCTACTCTTATAGACTTTAGACCACCAAGGGATCTTTAACGTGAGCAACTTGCAAGCGGGCCCTCCGAGATTTTTCGCCCTTGTCCGAGAAGGCTAGGTGTAGATCTTTCCTACCAGAAGATCAGGGGTGTGGCAGAAAGACAGCAGTAAGGAGGAGCCAAGGAGTAGCAGTAGAAAGGCTGCAGAAAGAGTGAGGAGCCCAGAGGAGGGGGCAAAGGAGGTGAGGGGGTGGGGGCAGAAAGTGGAAACTAAAGCAGACAACAGAACATTGCGAGAGAGCAGGAAAGGAGGTGAAAGGAGACAATTTTAGAGAAGAAAATTTTCGGTCGCTACCCGGATTCGAACCCGGGACCTTTGAATGAGAGGCCAACACCTTAACCTCAAGGTCACAAGAGCCCCCTGGCGGCTGTGGGAGGAACGCGAGCCAGCAAACAAGCAACAAGCTCCACAATACCATGCCAAACTTGTTTTAAAATGTAAATTGCTGTTTTTAAGACTGAATGTTTCCTTTGTATTTTTTAAACACTTCAACCATTCCGACTTAAAAAGTTAAAACAAGCCGTTCTGTGAACTAACGTGGAAATAACCAACCTGTGTCCTGAGCGCTCATACGATTGTATGCAGTTGCAAGCGCCGAAAAACTATGATCAAACCCAAACACATCATCAATGCCTTTCTCACCCTGCACCAGGGTATAGGCCACGGACAAAGCCTCTTGGTGTTATTCCATGTCTTCCCACTTTTCAGTACATCGATTTTTGTGATTCTTCTCCAGGTTCCACAAGGTCTTCCCCTTGACCTCTTGCCCTATGGGTTCCAATCCAAAACTCTCTCTGTTATGCAGCTGCCTCAAACACAGTGGTCTAATATTGTGTCGGTAGTTGACAGGTGTTCTGGTGTGTGGTTTCGTCCTTCTTTCACATCAAACAGCTATCGCCCTAATCTCCACTCCTTCATTTTGTGTTTGGTACTGTCTTGTAATACTTCTTATCTTCGACACGTACGCTTATAATATGTGACCTTACTGCATTGCAAAAGCGGCAAAACTCTTATAGGGTCTAAAACTGTTTGTGGGTGACGTCGGTGGCCTAGTGGTTAGGCTCTCGGACTCGCAACCGTAAGGTCGTGGGTTCGAATCCCGTCAGGGACCCGACGTTGTGTCCTTGGGAAAGGTACTTTGCACAAATTTTTCTCACTTCACCCAGGTGGAAATGGGTACCCAGCTATAGACAGTGAAAGATCTTGTCAGTTTGTTAGTGTTTGATCGCGTGAAATCCGCAGCTTGCGCTGTATGTTTCCGCGGAAGATGAGAATATTTCTGAGTGTTCTCAGAGGGTCTGCTGGGGTAATAATAGTTGTAAAGCGCATAGAGCAAGCTCTTGAACATGGATATGCGCTATATAAATGCAATTATTATTATTATGATTCTTCCCTATCAAACATCTATCGTGCTTATCTCCCCTTAATCTTTTTTATGTTTGTTACTCTCTTGTGACACCTCTAATCTTCAGGCGCTCATATGACCTTATGCAGTTGTAAGCGCCGAAAAAAACCCTACTAAACTAAAAACTAACTAAAACTGTTTTATCTTAGCCCCGGCCCCATCAAGACGCCACTTTTTTTGCGAGACCGACCAGAATTCCCGGGTGCAGCCCAGGTACATAGTATTAATAAGTTATCTAAAGTCATCTAAAGTAGAACATTTAAGCGTTATGATTTAAATACTGGAATAGTTTTTTTACAAATTATCATCATCATCATCATCATCATCATCATCATCATCATCATCATCATCATCATCAAGTTTTTACAGTAGCTAAAAATTCGTATATTTCGGTATGAAGTTTATGTAAGAAATATTCAGTATTTTCAAAACTGACGAAAGTTTCATCATCGGGATCATCATAAAATTACTTGAGCTAAAGCTCGTAGAGCTACACTGTACTGGAGTAAGCACTACAGAATAATATAAATAATAAATATAATAGATGTATAGATTGATTCTCTATTCTGCTTTCGTGGTTGTACACTCTGTAATTTTAAAGGTGTGGAAACGGTGCGCACGGCTAGTGAAAGGAAACCTCACTTATTTACAATGGTGTCTTAGAAGACGGACTTTCCCAAGATTAGGTCTAAACGAAACTTATGAAAAAAAGAAAATTAAGCTGCAGTAACTTCAGGCTACTCGTTGAAACTGTGCACCCTTTAAATAATTCTGAACCACCATTAATTTGATCAAATTCGAAAGTTAAGTGGCTCTGAAGTTTTAGGCGGCCAAAGTGACGGACTTTCATAAATATAATATGTAGAGATAATGGAAATTGGATCTTCCTTTGGGTGGAGTTAGTAGACGTTGTCGAATGAGATGTTGAAAAGCTAGCATTGTGTAGGACGATACTGCTGTCCGTGTATGGCATTATTAGCTTAAAAGGTTGGGTAGGGAAAACGGAGGTCAACGAGTGGGGGGGGGGGGGGGGGGCAGTTGAAGCACGACTAATGTTGTTAACCTCCTCTGTACCAGACTTGCTGTACACTCTCACCAACCGGCGTATGTCGCAGTCTTAGACGAGGCAGCGTAAGGGTTAATAACGTACATTCAATTTTCAAGTTTGTTATATTTTCGTCAACCCACCCCCTTTATTTATTCTTTGCTCCCCCCCACCCCTTCCCTCTACTTCTTTACATTGCCCAGTACCTCGAAGCCGGCGCAGCCTACTCTCCCCTTGGCATTTATGGAGAGTCTGAAGACGTCGCCGAGATAATCGCGTTCTACGCGTCAGATGCTGCAAGACTCATCACCGGGGATAACAACATCATAGATGCTGGACTCAGTCTGCCAATTATCTTCAACCAGCCTAAAGTGAAGGATCAGTGATTCAGCCTTCTTGCATGGCAACTAGGGGATGGTGACCGACTATATAGCGCCACTTCCCGTCGTTTGTATCAAAACTGCAGGATTCTGCATGGACTATTATGTAGCATTTGTTTGTCTTGGCATCATGGTGAAATCAGGCGCCTGTCAAAATAAAGAAATCAAAGAAATTAGCATTTGCCTGGCGTTGGGCAATTTGTGCTTCTTTCTTTCTTTCTTTCTTTCTTTCTTTCTTTCTTTCTTTCTTTCTTTCTTTCTTTCTTTCTTTCTTTCTTTCTTTATTGAATTATTTTTTACTCAACGCATTATACATTCGTTTAAAAACATACTCCAGAATACTTTGATCAAGGGAACAAAAAATGTAAACTTCCAACTTTCAAGGACACTCAAGCTTTGTAAGTCACCAAAATTTGGCAGCCATTTTCTCGCTTAATAATTCTACCTCTGGCTCCTCTTCCTTCACTTGCAAATATATCGACTTCTATTTAAGACAGATGGATTAAAATAAATAAAATCAAAAGCACGACAAAATTAGTAAACAAGCTTAAAGTGGTACCAATAAATCCATATTATCGCCAAAAATTGACGAGCGCCTGATTCCACTTCGCCGAGACACACTTGTCATATCATTATTGCTTGCTTATCAACCAGAAAATGTAAACTCATTCTACTTTCAAGATAATCTCTTATTTTGCAATAGAGCTACAACATATTGGGCATATTGTTTGTAATGTTTGTATCAAGCTGGACTTTTTTGCAAACGGCACTCTAGTGCGGGAACAAATTCATGGCGCAACCCATGCTCAAATACCCCATTAACGGGGGAGTCAGTGTCACCCATACTTTGCACAGCAGCTAGCATAAATTTGTCTCAACGTAAGCATACTTTTTCACAACATTTGAGGCTAGATTAAAAAGAATTTTCTCTATAAATTTATATAAAATACTAAAATCTCCGTTCACAGTCCCTCATGCTTCTAAAACACATTTTGCATACGCATATGGCGTAGGATCACAGCTCACAACGACACTTTTTAGTGGCAAAACTCGTTACAAGAAATTAACTTTATAGTGAGCACGTTTTTCGCACTAAAAGTTCTCCAGTCATGCGTTTAATAAGCATAATGTTACGATTAGAAAATAAAAAGATGGACATTCTTTTCAGAGCGATATTGACAAAACTGTAAGCATTTAAAAATCTGTAGAAATAACCCACTTTGATTTTAAATTAGTATTTATCAAGGAATTTTCTAGAATACAGCTGACACGTTTTTACAAAAATGTTGACAAGTAAAGACAAATTGATACTAGTCATAGTGCAAAAGCTGAAGAGTCTATGTTCAATAGTTAAGGAAATATCTGACAATAAGTTGCAACACGAATTTCTGACCGCACTATAATTCGAAACCCCAAAGTGGCGTTTTTGAAATGTGATTGTTTGGGAATATTTCAAGGCTATTCACCTATATATTTTTTATGGCTCGATCCTCACGGATTTGGACGTTAAATGAGACAGGTCAGCCTCTTGAACAGCGTTTTAGTGTTTTAGCACCTATAAAATTAAATGGCAACTTGCACTGTATGCTTTCAAAGAAGTTGAGATTGTTTCAGAATGCTTTCAGGTTTTCTGGGGTCATAGTAAAGACTGTAGCGTATAGAACGTGCTGTTGAGTGGGAATTTGCACTATACAAATGCTATCTATTATTGTTATCAGTATCATTTATTATTATTGTTATTATTAT